CAACCACAATTTACTGAGCACCATGCTTGAAAACAGCCCTCGCTTTCTCAGCTCTTCCTGCATTTCCATAGAGGAAACGTTCAGTGCGAGTATTCGCAATATTGTTTTTGTGCTCTTTTTTTTTTTTAATCAATGTCAAAATCCCAGGTCTGGTTTTAATGTTACCTGAAACATCAAAATAATGTTCATGAATAAAGGCAGATTTTGGATGTCCCATACCTGGCTGAAAATCTCTGCTCTAGACTAAAATGCCAGTATTACTCCTGGCCACCCATGGGCTGTGGGCCTCAGGGGAGTGTCTTGCTCTCTCTCAGTCTCTATCAGTTTCTCTGGGAAGGTGAGAATGACACCTGCCACTGGGAGCTGCTGTGCAGGTCCTATGAAGCACTTATCACCATTGTCAGTAAAAAAAAAAACAAAACAAAACAATAAACCTTAAAACTTTGATCCAAATAATAGATTGCTTGGTTGGTAGGCCAACATCCTTTCCCACCATTTTATAGATGTTCAGAATACTGAGGTTCAGACATACAGTTTGGCAAGATACTTAACCTAATTGCAGAACAGGAATGACTCTGAGATCTTCTGTGTCTAGACTAGGTCTCTTCCCTTCCTTTGTGCCTGCCCTGGCCAAGAGTCAGCAGGCGAGCTGTATATCTAGAACCACCTTGCTCTTGTCAGAGTGACTGGGGCTTCATATTAGGTCTAGAGTGATCCAGCACATGCAGCTTCAAGGACCCCTGGGATACAGTTTCCTTAGAACTAGTTAAGTGGGCATTATATTAACCAGTTCTCAACTGGGTTGTAAGCTTTATTTTAGAGAAGGCTCCAAGGCTTCGTGTCTTCTACCAGTCACTGCATACCAAGTGAGAGACTTTTAAAAGAGACGTCCCCTGCATAATCTCATTTTAGCTTTAATTTTTATCATTTAAATTGTTATCAGAGTGACACACACAAACATATGCATACATGCATGAAGAAAGAAGATAGACTTCACTCTCTATTCCCCTGAACCTCTTATCTATGTGCCTTTCTCAAGTTGCTGGACCGCTCAGCCTCAGTTTCCTTACCCACAATGTGAGGAATTTGTGGACACAGTCTCCCAGAAAGGGTTCAGATAGGCTTTCCCCAAGATGTCCAGAGTTGTTCTTTTCCAATATACATTACCACAGTATGTGGAACTAAGGTCAATTGAGATCCTCTGGGCTCCTGGAGAAAGTGCTACGATTATTTAAATAATGCAGTTTACCTAGATTTAGGGATCTCTTCAGAAGTAAGTTTTTTATTCCAGAAACCCATCTTAAGGCAGGGCATACATCCAGAAGCAGGTTTTGTCAGATTGTTATGGAGGAGGAGGGGGAGGGGCACTGAAGATATGGATTACATGTCCCAGCCTGCCATGAACTGGACTTCCTGAATGGGGAGCAGCTGGAGAGGATGGAGGTGGATGTATAAGTGAAGTGGAAGAAGGAGGGAGGAAGAGATAGATGGGGGGAGGCACATGGGGGAGAGACATGTAGAGATACTTAGAAGCGATACCTGGAAGTGACAGGTGGGTGAGAGACGCGTGGGGAGATTTTTCTTGGACCTTAGCAGAAAGAGTGGCAGCTTTTATCTCAACTTCATGTTGGATTACATGAATTTTGAGTCTCTCCTTTTGTCCTGGGTCTCTGGGACCTGCCCAACTGCTTTCTTGGGTTCATTGCCAAAGGTACCTCAGATTTGTGGCAAGCTTTTGGACCTCAGCCTCAGCAGGTTGCGCCTATTTGGCTGAGCATTTGATCATGAGGGGATGGGTAATTTTTGGAGCTTTTCTGGAAAAATTTGAAAATTTCCCAATATTATTCCCAATCCTGCACACCAATCCTATTAAAAATCATTTACACTAAGAGTATGCTTTCCTTGCCTTTGTGTATGTGATGGCCAGATCTCTTTTAGAGTGTGTACCCCTGAAAAATTGAGGTGACTGGGGACTCCTCAGTCACAAGCTAACAAGATGAAAGCATCTCCCCTTTCTCATGTAAACACTTTTTTCTCTTCTTGATATTCTATGTCCCTTACTATAGGACATAAGCCACTGATTTGCCTTCATTTACTTTAGAATTTAAAACCATGCAAATTCTCCATATGTATCTTATTAAATTTGTTTTTTTCCTCCTACTAATCTGTGTGATGTTGATTTGTTTGTCTGTCTAGCCTCAGTAGAACTCTGGAGGGGGGCGGTCTCCCTGCACCCAAATAGCATTAATAATTACTCTGCATATTCTTTGATCAAAATAAAATGAGTCGCTACGTGGGAAAACCTTTCGTAAACTTTAAGGCAGTTTCCGTCTCTGTCTCCTTCTGTCCAGCCTGAACCCATTCCTTCCATCATGAGCAGCAGGACTGTCTTCTGTTCCTTTGAAATATTTCCCAGCACCTGCCCAGATGCCAGAACTAAGAGGGACCCAGCCTCGTGTTCAATAAAGGAGAACAAAACTGTGCATCCATGATGAAATTTTCAGTTTTCTAACACTTGTTAGATAAATCTCTATTGGGTTGTAAATCAGAACTCACTCCAAAAGACCTAGAGTCCTCTCTCTTGGAACCAGTGTTAGCAATGAAAACCTGGTCAAATTACTTAATGTAGCTGAGTTTCCTCCTTAAAAAAAAGTGATAATATTTGCCTCCTGGGTTATTTTATCAAATGAGGACAAATTATGACAGCCAAAGTATGTGACTTTTTCTTTGTCCTTTTTTTCTCTCCCCTTCTGTTTTACCCTTCTAAAAATCTGTGCCTCAGCTTACTTTTCCACGAAATGGGGAAACAATACTTAGCTCACAGGGTGGTTATAGGGCTGTGCAAACTGACATGGAATAAAAGCACCTCTGTGGGGCTATTCTAGGGATCACTAACCTCCAGCTGGTGAGCTGCATGTGGACCTCACAGGTCTGGGCTGTTGTGCGCAGTGGCCACAATTAGAAGTTACTTAACATAGCTTGTCTTACTGTTCATCCAAGGTCCCCGATGCTCTCCCATCTACCTGTGATGCTTTGCAGCCTCTTAATACCTGCCACCCACATACATCATCCCCTCTGGCTATCTGTCTGCCTCTGGATCTCAGGGTGCATCATTCATTCTCTCTAGATGGTACCTGCCCCAATCCTGAAGGCTGAAAGCTGCCCTTCATATATCCTCCCACCCCCCTCTTGAATAAGTACTAAGAAGACTCATTATGAGGAGATAAGAAAAACAGGAAGTGCTTCCAAAGCCCCCAAGGACCCACAGCAAGAACAACCCTATCCCCTTCTGTAGGCCACCAGCCTCCTCTGCAGTGGAGAAAGAGCTGCTGGGTCTTGGGACCCAGAGGGGACAGTCAATGTGGCTGGGCCTGGAGCCCTGAGGGCGGGCAGTCCAGCTAGAGGAGCTGGTCTGCTCTATTCTGGGCATAGTTTCAAGGCCAGCTGCAGGGAGAACAAGCAGTCGCTGTGTGCCTGCAGCTGGTGGTGGTTAGGTCAGGGCTGTCCCTCATTGGGGTATATTTAAAGAGACCCCACTGGATGATCATGCCAGCAGGAAAAATGCACACATATCTCGTTAGCCACGCTCAGTGCCTGGCCTAGCCCTCTCCACTGCCACTGCAGCTCCCAGGCTATGCATTTATGAATCAACAGAGGAGGGCAGCCTTTTCTGCCTCTCTTAGGTATCTGTGGTACCTCCTGGGGACAGATGCCCCTGGCTCCTGGGCCTCTTTGCTCTCTGACCAAGCTGGCTCCAAGTTCAGGGGATTAGCCAGAATGGGCTCCTCCTACCCTGGTTGGTAACCCAGCAACCAATGGGAGGGGCAGGCAGATGAGTCAAATAGAAGCATAGAATCTCTGGCTTTGTGTTTTGTTTGTGAAAACTCCCTGAGAGCAAACGCTGCTTTCTGGCTGGGAGTGGTGGGGCTTTCCCACACTGCTCCAGGCCAAATGCTCCTCCTTGCTGGGATGCCCTGGACCCACTACTTGACTGCTAATGGAGGCTTTGGTGAAGGGCGGGGACAGGATGAGCTGAACATTCTGGCTGCCTCTTTCACTGGTTCTCTCAAGTGAAAACAAGACTTACAGGCCTGAATCCCAGGGGAAGGTGGTGTGTTAGTAGCTAGGAACTATGAGAACTATGGGCAAGGAAACTATGGCCTGAAGTGCTGCAGAGCAAGGCAGAGCTGGTACACATAGATGGAAGGGTTTGCAGGTGCCTAGCAACCAGAGATACCGTCTCATACCAGTGACAGGACTTCAGGAGGGAAACAGCAGAAGTGGGATGGGAAGTGGGTAGCTTATCAACAGGACAGGGAAGCTGATGGGCAAACTAAGGCAGGCTGCGACAAGTGCTGAAAGAACTTCTAAATGTGAGTGCTCCAATAGGATCAGCTACATAATTTGAGGAGCCCAGTTCAAAATGAAAATGCAGGGCCATTTATTAAAAAAAAAAATCAAGAATTTCAAGATGGTAAGAGAAGCTCAGTAAACCAAGGGCCCCTGTGGATAGCACAGTTGCCTATTCATAAAGTCGACCCTGTGTGCTTATGAGTAAGCTACTTGAAGCAGTTGTGAAACCTGGGGCAGGGTGAGTTCAGAGATGGCTGGTGCCCTCTGGCCTCACCCCTAAACCTTTTACTGCTGCTGCCCTGTGGCCATCACTTCCTAGATTTTACCGGACTTGGGACATTATCTCTACTTCAACAGCAGCTCTTCCTGTGCTGGTGGCAACAAAGTCTTTGCTTCTCTGAAAAGGGGGAACAGCAAGGCTGTAGTGGGGAAACGGCTGAGGCAGGAAGAGACTCTGGGCATCCAGGCCCCAGAGCCCTGAGGGCTGAGTAAGGTTGTGGAGGTGTTTGGGAACAAGATGGAGGTACAACAAATGGTGATCTTAATATCACCTCTTAAGAACCCAGGCATGTGTTTTGAGGATGTACGTGTCAGTCCAGGTAATAGAACCAAGGCCCAGGAAGCCATTACCCCATGAAGGAACTTACCTCCAACTCAATGTGGTCGTGGAGTTTCTTGCAGGTGGCTGCAAAGGTCTCTGAGGTGCCAAATTCAAAGTACCACAGCTTGTTCTTCATCCTGGATCATGAAGCAGAGAGATGTTCAGTATTCTGTATTTGTAGTGGTCACGTAAAGAAGTTAATTACTGGGACTGGGGGCTCCAAATCCACAGCATTCCTCAACCTTATGTTTTCACTATTTATCGGACGAACAGGGATGGATTTAAAATATTTTTCAGCAACTGTTCTTGCTAGGAACTTAGAGAAAAAAAAAACATTCATTTCTTAGACATCATGGTTACTCTAGGTGAATTACCAGCTGCACTCTGGACTTTGTGGTCAGAGCACATTTGCCTCTGTATCTGATTCAAGGGAAGAGTTCCATGAAAATCAACCAGAGGTTAACAAGTGACAACTTGGCCTGGTCGCTGTCTTGCTATTACTAATGCAAGGAGATTTCAGGCAGAACCCTCTCTTGGGTATGGCTGGGATACAAAGGCAAAAGTAGACAACATTTGAGACTTGAGGGCTATATAGTCTTGGGACAGGCGAGACAACCTCACAAGAAACCATCCAAGATATGTGCTTTGTCTATGTTCTGATTGGAAGAAGCAGAGTGGAGAGAATTAGACACAGATTTGGGGGTAAGGAAGAAAAAGAAGGAAATAAAGTGATTTATTTGATAGTAACACTCCCCCTTTTCCATGTCTTTCTCAACTGTATTTGATAAGGCCACAACCTTGTCATACTTCTCCAAAGTTAGGGCTCATCATTCTGAGCTTTAACATTTATCAACATATTCCTTAGTGCAAAGTCAGACGGTGTGTCCTCACATTTGGTCCTATCGATCAGATGGTCTCACCAGGAAGTGTTTCTCAAGGTACTCCATTTCTTCCATCCCAACTGTCATCCCATCATTGGGAATTGGCTAAGAGGAAGGACACCTGTCTAATTCATAAGCAGATAGATTTTTGCTAAGGAAGGATTAAACAAAACTGCATTCTTCTTGGCACTTAGGAAAGAGGAGATCACCTTGTATGGTGCTGATCTTCCATCCTCACATTTGTGGACTAAGAAGAAAGGAGCATCCCTCAATGGGCAGAGAACTCTTATTTCTTCCTATCTGTCCTAGGCTATAACAGATGACTGTTCCATACAACAGACACAACTCTGTTCCCTGAATTTCTCAGAGTCCACCTAGAACTTGAATATGAGACTTCCATTGTGTGAAGATTTCTAAGATCTAATTGATTGGGATGTAGTGTTTTTGATTCTTAGTATGCTTGAAAAGAAGCAACAGGTGATGATGACAAGAAGAATAAGTAAGATCTGGGGAATAAACCCTTACAAAGAAAGCTAGAGAATCCGTTGTACTTTAAGTAGGCCAGGGCTTCTCAGCCAGGGTGCCACAGCACAGACTGTGATATCAATCTTCTCCACTTTCAGGGGGTTGTGGGGCAGGCTGTCCTGCTACTACTAATGTTGGGGTGTCAGGCAGAGCCCTCTCTTCGGTATGGATAGCACAGCAAGCATTCCCATTTGTCATCCCAGTATTTGTTTTTGTTTTCTGTTTACGATGTCAAAAAATATTGGGAAATGTTCTAGATCACTGGTTCTCTGAATGTTAATGCACATACAAATCACCTGAGGATTGCAGTAAGACATTCAGTATGGAGGCCCAAGAGTCCTTTCTAACAAGCTGCTGATGCTGGTCCAAGGAGTATGCTTGGAGTGGTAAGGATCTGGAGACTATGTTTGTGAGTTCTTGAAAAATTTTCATATGAATTACCTGAGAAATGTGATTAAAATGCTGCTTCCTGGACTTCAATCTATAGAGATTCTATGTGACAGTTTGTGGGGCAGGGCCCAGGAAAATGCATCTTTATGAGTGCCGAGGTGATCTTTACGTCAGTGGTCAGTTGTCAGGACATTGAGAAACATCTCTCTAGATCCCAGTGAAGTGATAGCTATGGAAAAGGACAGACTGGTGAAACCTGGAAGAGACGATTCCTCAGGGAGGATAGAATGAGGGTCAATGCCTTTCAATAGACAATGATGGCAAAAGACTCAGTAAGGGGAAAAACACAGATTGTCATAAATGTCAAGGCTGAGCATACTTCTCCTGCAGTGAAATCATCTCTGTAACCAGGAGACCTGCACTGTGATTCCATTTTCAAATATCAATGCTTGTCTGAATCATGACTTTTGAAAGTTATTGCCAGGAGATTTAGGGTTTTAATAAAAATGTCTGGAAGCTACAGTTATTTTTGCCCCACAGTGGCTCTTTTGATGATCTAATAAGGTTAGGAGGTCATGGTGAGGTCAGCATCACAGAATGACTGCAAGGATCAAACAGGCCATTGTCCATTGCTGGCTAGATGTCCACTGCTGGCTAGATGTCCACTGCTGGTTGTATAACCTTTGGCAAGTTATTTAACCTTTTAAAGCCTCAGTTTCCTCATCGGTAAAATGGAGACAGTTAAGAGATCTGCTTCAAAGGGTAGTTGAAAAGATTAAGTGAGATGATTCAAAGCACGTCACATAATGCTTGATTATAATAAGTTCACCAAGAACATTAGCTATTTACTTATTAGACATATTTCAATATTTTGGACTGCCATATTTGCATAACATAGGGAGGCACAAATGACAGATGAAGTGGGGTAGCCAACCTCAAATTTTTCTAGGATAGAAAGATATGTAATCATGTTTGTTAGACCATGTGTCGTCTTGTTAAAAACATGATTCCCATTTGTCTAATAGATTTTTCCAGAGTCACAGACTACACCCTAATCCTTGGTTAACTACCTTGACTGGTCATACATTTGTCCAAGGATGTGATGTTGATTGAGAATATGCTTCTAAGACAGTGTATGTTTGCTGTGAATGAAAGTATTTATCAATTCAAGAAACATTCATTGTGCCAGAATTATAAGAGAGTTGTAGAACAAAATATATCACTCCATGACTAGGCACTGGGTAAAGATAGACAAGGAAACCTAAACCCTAGTGTCCAGAGCTAAGCATTGAGCACTAGAGTACATAGGAGGACATTTACTTCTTAGTGGGGCTAGGGGCCATCAGAGAAAACTTCCTAGGGAGGCAATGCTTGGGTCAAGTTCTGAAGGATGTGGAAGGGAAAAGAGAAAGTGAGGAGGAGCATTCCAGACGATGACACAGGGCAACAGAGCATAAATCTGCTGGAGGGGACCTATAAGGGTTGTGGAGATTTGGCTAGGAAGGGCTGGAAAGCGGAGGAGCAAGACTGCAAGGCTGGGGATGCCATGCTTGAGTATTAGGGCTTTAAAGTCGATAGTATGTCATGGACCATCCTTATGTGGGGATGGTATTGGAGGTAGTAGTGACCCACTCAGATTCGTGCTTAGTAACAGTCTCTTCATCCCACATGTGAAGAGTGGATTAGAAGGAGCAGGTACAGATTGAAGGCCTGGAGAATAGTTTGGGGGTGGTATAGAAATCCAGGGGAGAACTGAAAAGTGCCTGAACAAAGGTAATGACAGTAGAGTTTGGGAGAACAGGATGGATTCACAAGCTAAAAATTAGGGGAATTGACAGGGCTGGTTGATTGTTAGGAGTGAGTGGGAAATAGTCAAAGTGACACCCAGGTTTTTGTCTTAGACAGCACAGTGGATGACAGGTACTATTCACTGAGAGAGGGGGACAGGAAATCAATTCTAGTGGCAGTCCTCTTTGTTATTAAAATGTTGGTTTTTTTTTTTTTTTTTTTGGCCCATCTGGTCGTCCCTCTGCCCATCCATGGATCCATGAAAACATCCAAAAAACCCTACTATGTGTCAGTTGCTGTGTTAGGTCTGGAGAGAAGTGATGAATGAGAGAGGCATGATCATTGATTATTCCCTTACAGGGCTTATATCCTTTTAATAGTTCACTAAGATGCAAACATTTGATCTCTGATGCATAGGAGACTTTTCAAAATATAAGAGCTTTTATTTTTCTTCTTTTAAGTCAAGTACTTTTTATGTTAGAAGTGAATATATTCCATTCCCATGACCCTTTGGTTTTGCATTCTGTGAAACATTTTAAATACTTATCATATTTCTTTTGATTTTCTGATGATGAGGTAGATACTATTGCTAAAAATAAGGAAACAAAGACTTGGGGAGGATAAATGACTGGCGTGAGTAAAGGACTTGCACTTAGTAAGATAGTGCAGAGGGGGGCCCAAACCCTGACTACCTGATCCTAGAGCCTGTGCTTTGCTACCCTGCACCCTATCTTTTACATATGGTACGTGTGCTCCTGCACACTCACTAGACTGCTGTGCTTCTCCTTCTCCCGGTTAAGTGGATGCTCTTAGGGGTCTGGGTTGTCAGTGGTTGCACACATCCTAGGAAAAGCTGATTGACGAAGAATGGCAGACCCTCCTAGCAACCAGAATTCAGGGGTGTTCTAGAGGAGTTTGAATCAGATGTGTCACAGGAACCCTCTGTCTTGAATCAGCAGTGACTTGGATAATCAGGGAATCCAGAACTGACCCTTAGCAAAGTCAGACATTTTCAGGAATGCCCTGTACCTTTCCTTTCAATTCATCTAGAAATGGGGCAGAAGTAATGCCCCAGAACCATCTCCAATACAGAGGGCAACAGGGTAGAAAGAGTGCCTCTCTTAGGAGACAAACATAAGTTGCTCTTCAGGCATCTCCAATTCAGGTTCAGTGTGGGTCATTTTTCCTCACAATCAGAGAGGGCAGTGGGCCTGATGCAGAGTCCCTAGAATGGAATCAAGGAGTTCTAGGTTCAAAGTTATAACCTGCCCTTCACTTCTTTCTCTGCAAGATGGGAATATGATTCTCTACCTAGCAAAGTTATAGAGCTCATGTGCCTTTGAGCACATTTTTTTTCTAAGCCTCTTCACCCATAAAATGGGCTAATAGTTAACACTCTGTTATAAATAATAAATGAGTTATGTGAAATTAACTAGGACTGGTCTCGTTAAATAGGAGGCCATAATTGCCCATACACGTTTAAAATTTGTTGACTGTTGTTCATGTCTTGTCAATAATCAGAGTACTCTTGCCTTTATCTGGTTAACTCAGAA